AAAGCAATATTTATTTGAGTTTATGTATTTTTGAAATGGGACAGCTTTTGGGACATATGGTCAACTTTTGGTGTATGTCAAGTAATTGCAGAACGTGTATGTCAGTTAGAACGGTTTAAAATTTTAAATAATTTTTAAGAAAATAATTTCTACAGCTTTTTGAAATTTTATATACATACATACAAATCTTGTTCGAAAATATAACGAACCATGAGCATCCTAGTGGAAATTAGGGATCGAGCGACTATTAGTTACCTAGAAATTTTATTTCAACACTTCTCGCCAAAAGAACAGACAAAAATTTTTTTAGGAAAAGTAGAGCTCGGAAACTGGGCTATTACTGGGAGGCCATATTACATTGTCAATCTTACCTGAATAAATATTCACCTTAATTCTTTTAAATTTAATATACTTGAGTTGTGTTTGCTAAATTAACAAACAAAAAAACTTTTCAGAAAAATCAAATTCAAATAATTCCGCTAAAAGTCAAATTTTAAATTATTTTAGAGATATTATAAGTATTGAGTTACTAGTATTCTTAAAACAGATTTATTAGTAATTGTAGTTATTATTATTAGTAAACACATCAGATTATTACTTTACTTTTTTAAACAAAACTCACCATATAACTTTCATGTTTTATAAGGGATACTAAATTATGCTAAGAAGTTATATGATTTACTTGTTTTATACCATCTGGATTGCATACTACAAGGCTGATTATTTGATTGTGTACTTCAAGACTGATTATTGTGATGTCTGTCCGCCTGTTGCTCTGAACCGATTTTGATAAAAATTTATATTTGAATTAACATTGTGGATGGAAAGATCCGGTCACTTTTGGGATATCTCAGGTCACTAAAACTGAAAGTATTCTAACGAATTTGGTGAAAATTGGATGTTTAATCCTCCGTGGATTTTATTTAAAGGAAAAACTAGAGGACCAACCAATTCTCATCAAGCAAAATCCATAAAATTTATTTTGTTCTTCAGCTCTGATTTATAAAAATATAGAAACACGAAAGTGGAATAGTCATTACATTAGATTCCATCGAAACTACATAAGTTTTTTGAATTAACTGCTTTTGTCAATAACACAAAATATTAAAAAAAAAATGGTATTATAAATTATAATAGTATTTGATTGTTTAGTAATTGAGAAATTGTTGATATTAAAATGAGAAAACAATAATAACAATGCTTTTGAGACTTTGAAATCATAATTTGCTTACAAAAATGATAATTATAATAAATAATAAATAATACATAAAATAATAAATTAATTTTAAAACTAGGTTTCATATCTTATAGGTCTCTGAACTACAAGAATTTTAAGGTGTAAATATAACTCTAATTTTTTAAAAAACCTTTAGAAAGATCTTTTCTGAGACCTGGAACCTAATAAACAAAAAAGTAACTACATTTGTAATTAAAATAACAAAAACCTAATGTAACTACATTTACAAAAAGCTGTCGAACAAAAGTTTTACAATACCATTGCAACAACATACTGTAAAAGAGTATTCAAATAATTCTTTTAATATTTTTTATATGTTTTTAAAAACTACAAAGATTTTGGATATGTTTCTTTGCAGGTATTAGGTCCAGTACGCCAATCTTGATAGTTTTGTTTAAAGATCTGCTTGCAGTATGTGCGTCTTCTCCCGATATCAAGGGCTTAGCTCTTTGCGTCCCCAAATGAACGCGTCAACAAGAGATAGATGGCATAGATAGAGCGACTTAGAATTGGAGTCTCAACAAGAATATGTATCCATTATGGGGGCACATGCTTCTTGCAAAAATGAACACACCTCCCCAACCCTCCAACCCTTTTATAATTAACTATTAAATAATTTTTTAAAAATTTTTTATGTGAATAATGGAAAAAGTTCGTTATATTAATTTATTATTCAATTTTAAAAAAGGAGCTATTCATTTTATATAATTATGAAAACTTTAAAAAATTAATTTGTAGTTACAAAATTTTTAAAATATCAATAACCATAAGATGAAGATATTCAATTTTTGTTAAGATTTTAAAATTTTTATCATCAAAAAAATTCTCTCAAAAGCAATAATTTCAGTCAACGAAAAAATCTTATTCAATTTTTGCAAAAGTTGAATCAAAACTTCAAAAATTTGTTAAAATTAAACTACTATTTCGAAAGCTATTGTTAGCAATAATAGTACAATAATAATAGCAAAACCAAATATAAAATAATTTTCAAAGAAAGATAATTGTAGTCTAGTGAATCAATTTTAACAACATTTAAATGAAGTTATCAAATATCACAATTTAAGAACCGCGTCTCGAGTTTTCTACAAAAATGAACTTTTCGATGTTAAGGAAGCGCAATAAACTATTTTTAGAGCGATATCTATATCTATTGTCAGACAACATGTCGGTCTGTTTGTCAATCAATCTGTTCTTCACTCCAGTATCTTAACTGGGACCGAACAGATTTACACGAAAATTTATATCTGTTACAAACCGATTTTATGTTTTTAACTATTTTTAAGAAAAAAATCTGTGTATTTTCCTAAAATATGTATGAAAGCTCTATCTGACAATACAACAAGTTACTTAACTTTTTAAAGAAATTAGGTGTCATCAAGAAGACTTTCTTAATTTGGTTATCTTATTAATATTAGCCCAAGTAAAATCTCCAACTCTTGCAGAAGAAATTACACACAAAAAGAAAACGAAAAAGAATTACATGCAGAAAAAGAAAAAAAATGTATTCTCAACTCTGTACGTATTACTCGTATACGAGTATCGTATTCGATCGTATGTATATCCAATGTATATCCATTGTATATCCAATGTATATCCATTTTTTGCACAACTTTGTGCAGCCCGCATTGTGTATACTATAAAGTAGGTTATGTGACGGCATCAAATTTTGGATTTTGAACTTTTAGAGAGCTGTCGGGCTCTCTAAAACAGCTGTCTTTCTGTCGGTCTTTCCGTGTGTGCTAGTGTGTATCTGAATTTTAACTGAACCGAGTTTGGTGAAATTTTATATGTGAGTTTATTTTGGCTATGCCATGGATTAATCAACTTTTGGGATATATCAGGCATCAGGAACTGAACTTTTTAACGGGATTGTTTTACATTTTTGATCATTTTGAAGAAAATACTCAACAGATTTACTTAAATTTTCATATATAAGATTCATTCGACCGTACGCGAAACCTCCTAACTTGTGGAAGAAATTAGGTGTCAGGAACTAGCTCTTAACATTGTACACTTTTCCTAAATGCGTTTTACACGTAGTGGATACATAAAATAAAAGTCTAAAAAATCGAACACGCTTTTCTTATACATGTTATACAAATGTTGCCAGAAATAACCAATTAAATAGCATATTATATTTTCAACAATAAAGTGCTAATTATTAAGTTTTTTCCCTAATTTGTAGCATAAAAATGCTATGTTTTTACGAGTAATGATGTTTTTAATGTCTTTCACCGCTTTGGTTTTGTTTTTACACTTATATTGAATATAACTTGCACATTGCGAGTATTTTACTTCAATAAGAATGTATTTTTGCAGAGCTTTAGTACATTCATAGCAAACATATTATCCAGGTGCTAGAGTAAAACCACACGACATACAGAACGGCAAGAGCTTTGTATTTAAGTTCCTGCTAATTTCAAATTATTACTAATTGATTGACTATTGCTGGTAACCATTTCTTCATTAAATTGTACATTTATGCTCATAATGTAAACCTATTCATATTTTAACCAAATGAATCAGCCCATCCTCAACGGTGAGCACAAAAATAACTTAAAGTTTTAAAAATGTTTAAAAATGTGAACATTGTACATATGTACGTGCACCATTATATCACACAAACATTTTTTGAAAGTGAAAGGAAACATGTTTACATATACATATAATATAATGGTTATGTACCAAATAAAGATTTGAACCTAACTTCTGTTGCTTTCTTTTGCTTTTCTGTAACATTGTTTCTATGCGGTGTTTAATTATTTTACTGAACTTTTTGACCTCTCAAACAAAATATAAAATAATATTTTCTCTCATAATCCCTCTTTGCCAGTAAACCTACTGCTCTGCTCATTTTGTCAAATAAATATTTTTGTAACACAAAAACCAAATAAATGTTATTTAACGAACGGAGATATCAAGGCCAACTAAAGTTCAAAATACGCAGCTTGGAAAAATATAGGATCTTTTTTTCGAAAAACTTAATATAAGGACAATCAGTGATATAACAGACTTTTTTCGAAAATTACGTTATATCTTGGAAATCGTTTAACGGACCCTGTTTTTTTCTGTAGGAACATTAGAAATTACTTTCCAACCTTTAGTGTGACTTTTTGTTTGCTCCAACATTTTTTTTGGTTAAAGAAATATAAGCTTTCAAAAATTTTAGAATTTTGGTTACCGTTCTCTAAAGACATTTTGGTGAAAAGTCTTTGCTTATGAAGAGATAAAAAAGTCTTCATATACAAAGCTACAACATCATAATGTATTAAGATACCATCTGGAACCATGTAATCTCTATAATTCTCCAAAGTAAATTCTAATAAAATCAAAAATAAAATCAGCCAATTAATAGTCGTAGACTTCACAATGGGTTTCGTTAGAACTGTCCAACATATAAAGTATACATACAAGCAAACTAAATTGAAGGATATAAGTTACAAACCCCGCTTTTCTGTGTTCTGTGCGTAATATGTTTATATAATATACATTTCATCAAAGTTATCCCATAAAACAAAAAAAAATTTATCTCATTTGCATCTAAAAATTTGATAACTTTAATATTATAATTAACTACAAACAATATTCCAAATTAAAATTTAAAAAAAAATGGATTTTTGTAATACTGTTTATATAGGTCATGAACGCATTACAAAGCGCATATACAGTACATAATATGTACAAAAAACGAATCATAAAAAATTTTAACATTTATTTCATCATTCACTTTTTAAAAATAAAATCTTTTACAATTTTCACTTACCTCCTTTGGAAGCACTAAATGTTCGTAACCTATCTACATCATCATCTTCTGGATCACTTAACTGTAAATGGTGCATATTCATTGTTGGAACATCAAGAAACGCATTTGATTTTCTTTGTACTGAAGTACATGAAAAGAAAGTAAAAAAAGGGAAAATTCAGAAATAAAAAAATTAATTCAATTTTTGTTTTGTTTTACAACTTTGTTAGAAAACAACAGCTTTTACTTTCGGACACATTGAATTTGTTTGTTTACTGCATAATATTATAATTTTTTTCTCGTAGAATGTACTCATAAATACTAAATACTTAAACATGTAAATTGAAAATGACTATTCTATATATATTGGGTGCATTTTAAATATTTCTTAGTGTGCTTATGTAGTTTTAATGTGCGTTTGTGCATTAATGTTTTAATAATAATTTTTTATATAAATTTAAATACACATACATATACATACACAAAATATAAAATATACACAGGAATATAAAATAAAAAAAAAATTTGCGTATAAGTTAGTATAAAAATACTTTTTTTAGCAAATACACTCATCCCTCGCTTAACGGAAGCTCCTTATACGGAATTCAAAAATTAAACCAGTCTCTTTTTACGGAAAAAAAATTCAATTTACAGGAAACTTTTACAATGCAAAAAAAGGTAAAAGTAGTCTACAAAATCACAATTTTTATAAAAAAAACTTTTTTCTAGGTATTTTTTTGTTTAAATTTTTGCACATACATATACAATATGTCAAATATTGTGCAGATACATAAAATATATGTATGTAGATAACATATGAAACAGAAATCAGAGCAAAATAATGCAAAGAATTTGTGTATGTGATTGCTTTTTTTCCAACAATTAAAATTTCTTGTTGATTCTTGTTGTCTAATGTAATAATAATAAAATCCTATATTTTTTGCAAATTAACAAGAAATATATGTACCTATATAAGCTTAGGTAAAAAATTATGTGGTTGTAACGTAATGTAAATAAAAAGATTCGATTTACAGAATTTCGTTTTACGGACATTTCCGGGACATATTAGTTCCGTAAAGCGAGGGATGAGTGTAATTCAATAATAATATGATGGTGACTTACTCAATGGTGCTCTTTTGACTTTTTGTTTTGTTGTATAAATGTATATGTTTTCAGTTCGGTGGTTAATGTTTTTTTGTTGTATACAAAAAAAAAAATATTTTATATTGTTATTGAATATTAAAAATTTTAAATAAAAACATTTGTAAAATATGTAAAATTTTGTTAGTATAAAAATTCAAATTTTTGCTTTTTTTTCTATTCTTTGAATTCAATAAAGAATAATAATTTTCTAGATATGTACTTGTTTGTTGTAAAATATTTACATCTATTATTTTATAAAATTCTAATTTTGTAAATCAGATCATACTAATTTTGTAAATCTAATATAATAAACTAATTTAAATTAAAATTTTATTTAAACAATTTTACTTATTGCAGCCAGAAGAAAAGAGCAAGTATTCAAAAATTTAAAATATATTATTATCTATTTATTATTATCTATTCAATGTGGCGAAAATTATTTTAAGCAGTATCCTTAAAGTGACAATTTTTTTTTAACAAAAATATTATTAATTGATTCCGTATTAATTAACAGTTGCGTGAAAGAGCATCAAGCAATTATGAAAACCAATGAGTAATTATCTTTTAACAAATTCGCAGCAATGAAGAATCTATTAAAAGAATGATTGGTAATTCATATTTAAACAATATGAATTTGAAAATAACAAACAAAATTAAAGTTTTTTCGAGAAAGAAAATGCAAATTTGAAGTAAAATAAATTATCATAACAATTCCGTTTTCTAATACACAATATGTATGTATTTTGAGTTCACTGCTTTTTACAAATAAATCCGAAAAATTTTCTGCTTGAATTGAATATTTTAATGAAATATATTTTAATGAAACGCAATGGCAAAACAACTGAGGATCACAAAAACTTTTTCTCTAACTCAAAGGTGTTCTAGTTCGAAGTATAAAAGAATTTTATATTTCCATAACTATACTTTAGAATTTTTACTCAAATTATTATTTTAATTTTTTAACATTATTAATATATACGAATTTATGTCTGAGGTATGTATACTCATCTAAGTCACGCAATAAGAAAATTTTAAAATTTATTTTTATCCTCTTTAACACTTACGAGTATTAGCACAAAAACTGGTACAAAAATTTTGTTGTAAAGCATATAGGTACATTTTTATTTTACAACACGTTATAAAATTTCTTTATTGATTACCCATACACTCACGTACGATTTTCGTTCTAAACAAGGTTATATTGTTGAAGGTGTAGGGTAATGATAACATTAAACAAGGTTAATAGGGTAATATGTAATTTTTTCAAAGTATAAAATCATGTTTTTTCAATTAGGTATGCACTTTTAAAATACTATTTTCAGGATATAAAACTGTTATTTGAGCTAATTAATAAATCTATAGTAAAGGAATAAATATTTATAACAGGTTTTTAGCGAAATTATTATGTTTAACTTGCTAAAGATAAAAAAAATCCTTTTTAAATTTACAATTTAATCATTTATCATCTGCACAAATGATTTGTAATATTATAGCATACAAAGATTACAATTTAAATTAATTAATCTTATAAAAAAAGTAATGTTATAAACTTATAAAAATAAAAATCTAATTTAATTAAACATATAATTTGTACTACCGTTTTAATCTCAAAAAAGTAACTTAAAGATTTTCACTCAGATTCGAAAAAAAAAACGAGAAAAAATAGAGTTGACCGTATCAACTCTGTGATATCCGTACGAATTTGTTATCCTATGTGCGAATATATATGTATGTCATAGCTGACAATGGAACAGACTATGACTTTATTTCATTTCATTTCATTTCATTTATTGCTCCAAAAATATTTCAAAATGATACAATAATTAAATATAAGTATATACAGAGATATAGACATATGTTATCTTTACAGCTGAAATATTCTATATTATTTTAATTTTTTTTTTTATGAATTTACAACAATATGTTACAGTAAGGAAAAACGGAGTATTCAAAAAACCTTCTACAAAAAATTTTATTTAAAAAACTTAAATTCTATAATTATGCTAGAGTTAGTACCTGTTTCTTAAATTATATTAAAAAGCCTTAAAAAATAATTAGTGATTTAAATCCCTAATTAGTAGGTTGTCAGAAAAAACAATATTTTTAACGAACGAGCTATAAATATTTTCGATTTGCCTATCAATTTTATTTATACCTGCTTTAATGTGCAAAACTCTTGTTGGGTAATAGTATGGTAAATTAAGCATCAACTTCAATATTTTATTTTGCTTAACCTGCAACCTTTTGCTTAAGTTTGAACATATCCAAAGTAGAGGATTTAAATGTGTACATATCCTAAATAATATTAAAAAAAAAATTCCAAAGAGGTGCTTAATGAGTTAAATGAGTAATCATACGACAGATAATTTTTAAGCCAGGTGTGCAAACTGCAATGTGGCACACCCTGATAGCCACCGAGGCTGTTTAGTGGCTAAGTAAAGGAATCGGTCTAAACGAGTCCTGGGTAATCATGAAAGGGCACGAAGAACGGTTAATGATTTTGCTTCAATCGAGGTAAAGAGTGATATTATATATTCACAAGTGGTTTCTAAAATTGCAGAAAATTATATAGATAAACGACCTAAGAAACGCATGAAATCTAAAGAAACTGACAATGCAAAATCCTAAAAAAATAGACAATAGCATAATGCAAATAATGCTATGACGAGTACTAAAAAACCGATAAAGCTTATCTTCGCCTGAAAAAAAAGATGGATCATGTGCAAAAAACTATAGGGATAAACACTATAGTGTTACCTTAATAATTTTCCAAGCAATTCAGTTATTTAAATCGAACAAGCCGTCATTACTGCTGAGATATTAAAGGATTTTCTGGGAAAGGCATTGACATTTTTTAAAAAAGTAATAAATACAGCAATGAACCTAAGGTATTTTCCTAGTGATTGAAAAGTAGCTGAAGTTATTATGATGGGAATCCCGAGTAAATCCTTGAATGAGGCAAATTATATAAATCGATTTCGTTAACAATGATTTCAAAACTCTTTGAAAAATGGTAGTTTGATCCTTTGAACAAGTACACAGAATAACAAATATTGTGGAAAAGGTGTTAGAAAAAAGGCAAATATGTTCGACAGCGCTTCCATGCCTTCCTTCACGGAATGTAGAAACAAAAACACGATAGAGAAAAGCTAATTATTAATCAGTTGGACTAGTTTTGCTATTCTGTCTACAGTACTGAAATTTGAAAAATAAAGTACGGTGAAATGTCACCTATATTCATTTTGGGGCAACAGGCCCAAAAGTTATTTGCCATTGTCTTAGAAATGATTGGAGCAAGAATATAAAAATTTCGCGAAAGCAAGTGCATTATTAGAGCTGTTGCGATAAAAATTATTGAAATTTCTAGACTCCTTGTGCTAGCTGCCATATAACTTCAATAGTACTTTGCAGAGTTGACATGTTCAACTCTATTTGTTCTCGTGTGTATTATTTTTACCAACCGCGTTGTACACAGTTACAATAAAGTAGGTTATGTGATGGCACCAAATTATTGATGTCAAGTTTTCGATTTCCATAGTGCATAGGCGTAAAAAAATTTCTTTTAGAGAGATATTGGTCTTTCGGTCTGTGTGTACACGCGTGTATCTCAATTTCGGCTGAACCGATTTTGATTAAATTTTATATGTAAGTTTATTTTGCCAATGGCATGGATTTATCAACTTTTGGGATATATCTGAACTCTTGCCCTTTTTCGGGCCAATTTTACATTATTAAACAATGTTAAAATAATGAATCTATTTATTTTTTTAAAACATCAAGAGTAGGAAACCAAATTAGGGTCCAATTTTACATTTTTTACCATATCTACGAAACGGCTTAATGGATTTCTTGAAATTTAACATTTGAGTTCTGGTTGTTACCGAAACTAACTGGTAAACTTTTCAGGGGATTCAAACAGCGTAAAGCGAAATTCAACTAAGAGTCAAATTTACACTTTTCTAGGTATGTTTACTGAAAGCTTACTAACTGCCTTATAATTGGAAGGAAGTGTTCAAAATACATTTTCATAATCTTCTGTACACAATAAATTAGGAACTATACATTTCGGTTGGTTATGTGCTGACGGATTTTTTTTTATGTTTCCACAAAACATTCACAATTGCTTATATTGTTCACATTGCATATAAGCGTTGGAGAGAAAATCTTCTAGAACAAAATCAAAATACATGTTGAATCAGAAGATATTTATACATACATATCTGAAATGTTTTAGTTTTCTTTAAAAAAAAAATAAGGTTCTTCTATGCTTCAGTGCCAAAAACCAAAGCGTTAGATATAAATTATGATAAAAATGCTCTATTTTCGATCTAATTTCTTTTTTAAAGTAGGCGATTATTTTGAGTTCATTGTACTTTCACAAGGTAAATAGTCCGGTTTATATGTACAGTTAGTGCGTAATGTAAAACATTTTTCTTTATTATGCATATACAATGAAATTAATTATTTCGTATGCATTTTATTATTAGTACGTTGTTAGTCGCATAATATTGGCTACAAAAAATATTTTATGTAAATTAAAGGTTCCGTTTTTTTATGCTGCCAAAATTTTTAAATAACGATAAAGTTGGCCCAAATTTAAATTAATGACGTAAACTAAAATTTTATTGCAAAATTTTCGTATAACATATTAAACGCACACAAACACAGAAAATTTGTAAAAATTAAATTGTTTCTTATTTCTTTTAAATGTTAAATTTTATTTTTAATTAAAATCTAATGCAATAAATAAGAAATTGTAATATTTTTTGTTAAAAATAGTTCTTAAGGACAAAAATAATTTAATTATAGTTTTTTAAATATCTTTGATGTATATACTATAATACATTATATTATTTGTATACTCAAAAGGCCAAAAAATTAATAGATTTGTCAAATATTTGTTAGCAATGTTTTGAGTAAATTTTAAATCTAACTAATTATATTTGAGATTGTTTTCCTGCCACAGAAGCTAAGTTAGAACTTTAGAACAACAAATTAGTTTTAAAAGAAAAATTAAATCAGAACAAAAGCTCAAGCATAAGACACGTCACAGAGCAAAACCTTTAATTTACATATTTTACCCGAAAGATAACGTTCCTACAATATGAGATATCGTAGAAAATTAAATAGTTCTGAATACTTTATGAACGTATTATGTATTTATGTATTTTGAATCTTATGTGTGACCGTTTTGAGTTAGCCGAAGTCATTTTGCTATATTACCTGTGAATTTATTACCTATAGTTATACAAAAAAAATTTTCGAAAACTGATTTAATTACTTAATCACCATGACAAAAATATAAGATACATAAACATAATTTTACAGAAAACTAAAATTAAAGTATTAAAATATAATAAAATTTATGGTCTCTATATAAACCTCGTGTGGTATTCAGTTTGGTCCTTTTTATTATGAAAAATAAAAAATATTTTAATTTTATTTACTTTAATTTTAATTAATAACGATAAACGTTTTATAGCCAAGATTGGTTAATAAAAATTTAATAAAGATAATAAATTAAATTAAATTTATTCAAAGTTTTTCGCCTACAATGTTTTAATATAAAAACAAATATGTATGTAATTAACATGTACCTACGATTAAAAGAAATTCAAGCAAAATTTTGCTAGAAAAAGTAATATTCAATGACTTTATGGTAGAATATTATGGTTCCAAAATTAGAGATCTGTAGTATAAAAAATATTGAAAAGGTGCCAAAACATTCTTTCGCAGGTGCCAAAACATTTCCTTCTCAGAATTTTGAATATAAGTAGACGGGAACTTTTTGAACTAATTAAAGGAAGCTTTTCCAAAACTCCAATAAAAAAAAAACAAAATTGTCAAACGAAAACTGGAAAATATACAATAACACAAAAAAATACAAACTTACTTGTACACCTAAAAAAATTATAATAAGTAAAAACACAAAATAAATTAAAATTAAACGAGAAAAAATAGAATTGACCGTATCAACTCTGTGATATCCATACGAATTCGTTATCCTATGTGCGAATAAGTATGCCATAGCTGAGTATGGGACGGACTATGATTTTAAGTTGCCGTATTACTATATTAATTTATGCAAAATTTCGATACTGTGTTTTCAATATTTTCTAAGATATGGCTTAACCACTATTTAGTTGTATGGCAGCTTTTATAATTTTTCAGATATAGCTAAATAACTTTTGGAAATTGTATAGCAGCTACCAAAAGGACCCAATCAATTTCACCAACTTTTATCAAACACATGGACCCTACTTATATATTGGCTTGGGTGATTTTTCAAAACCACAGCTTTTATAGTTTTTAAGATATAGCCAAATAATTTTTGAAGTTGTATGTCAGTTACGAGAAGGAGCCAAGAAATTTCAACGACTTTTATCAAACACATTAGTCCTACTAATATATTTGCTTGTGTGGAATTTCAATAGAACAGCTTTTACAGTTTCTGAGATATAGTCAAATAACTTTTGAAGTTGTATGGCAGCTACCAGAAGGACCCAAGTAATTTCAACAACTTTTATCAAACGCATTGGCCCTACTAATATTTACTTGTGCGAAATTTCAATACCACAACTTTTATAGTTTTTAAGATATAGTCAAATAAATATTGGAATTTGTATGGCAGCTACCCGAACCAGCACCCCGAGCATACCCAATTTGAATAGGGTTCTGGCATTTACTTTAATAAATCATTTGTGAAAATTTGGTGAATTTATCTCAATTAGTTTTTGAGTTATCGTTGGGACGGACGAACGGATAGACAGACAAAGCTAAATCGACTCAGAGTTCGACGCTGAATAAAAACATCCACTTGAAGAAAAATATTTTGAAAATCTATTTGATTTATCTTACGAGTATATCTAAAAAACCTCAAAAAAAACACTACATCATATTTTCTTTGTTTCTAATGTATAAAAATTTTAAAATATCCTTGGATATTATTATATCATTTGAAACAAAATCTTCTAAAAAAAAAAATAATTTGAAATACAATTCCATTCACCTGGATGATGGCTTATTGGCTTTCTTTGTGATAATTTTCTTCTTTGTGGTGGGGTTTCCGTTTCATTTAAACGTGGTTCACTTGTACAATGGGTTCTATGTTCAACTAAATTTGGTTGTTGTGGGGTTGTTACTTTTCTTCTAACCTAAAATAATAAAAATGGAAAATAAGTTATTTTAATTGTATATAAAATAAATACATATGATTTTTATTTGAGAAGACTACTTTTTGAGAAATAATCTTGTATAATCTTTTAAATAATCTAATAAAAGCGTTCTTTCAAAATAGTTTTCAAATAGTGCCAAATCATAGAAGCATGCTCAGAGAGTAAATCAAGAATAATTTCCAAATTGGTATGACAATCGTAAGGGGTGTTGAAAACTGTTTTTGGGAAGCAAATTAACTAATATTTTCAAATCTCCTTTTTCCACACATTATTTAAATATTTGACGTTCAAAAAAAATCGGTCCTTAATATTGTTTCCATAATAATAAAAATAAGTATATCCTAGTATTGATAAATTATATTTTTAATATATTAATAAAGAAAACTTATTTATACATGCATATTTATAATATAAACAACATAGTAACTTATATATATTAAGTTTTATTCATTATTACTAAAAATAATAAGCATATTCAACCAAAATAATTAATATTCTTAAAAACAACCTCAACGCATATGAGATTAACCCCTGAATAAGCATATTAGTAAGGGAAGAAAAAGAAACTAACTGGGTATAATTTGGATACGCATCGGCAATAAGTACCAACATTACATTTTTTTGTTTTCATAAAAATAAAAAAATAAAAAATTTAATTTAAGGACACGCGTCTAGCTTGCTCGGTCTCGGTTTATTTCAAATTCTACGAAACATAGAAAATTGTTTTTAGACCTGTAAAAGTTGTATATTTGCTTTTAAGGTTCCAAATTTAAATCATTAACAACCAGAACTCAAATATTAAATTTCATAAGAAGTTTATTTAATTAATTCCTGAGAACGTTTAGCTTGCTTCAGAATTCGTTCAGACTTAGAATGAGTTCCGCAAGATATTTTAACATATAATTCTAATTCACAATTAAATTTACGATAGCAAAGAAAACAACAAGCACTCTACAACACAACCATTATTAAAATTTTAAATGAAATGAAATAGGCTAATAAACCTTCCAAGCTGATTTTGTACTTTTAAGCCTTTATGCCTCCTGTATTGTTAATTCATTTCATAAATTCAAATTACTTTGATAATTTTAAATACTTTCTATTTTATATACCTATCATCAGAATTCTTAGCTAATTATTAAAAATCAGTGCAATTTAAAGAATAATTTTTTATGCCTTAAAAAGTATTTTTTTTTTGTGTATAATTATAAAACAAAATTTTTAATAGTCAATAAAAATAATTATTTGATTTTTTTGTGCAAACTTTTATATATTTTCGTATATTTGAATATGTATGGTATGTACTCATGTTATATATTTTAAAATTACCATCATCACATCATCTTGACGAATAAAAATTATCTACACATTTTCAAATAACATTGAATATATGACCTTTGTGGGCTACAATTCATTTCATATTCCCCAGTTATTTCTTTTTATTGCTTTATAAACGAATTTTGTACCTACGTATACGTACATAGACGGCAAAAAAATTGAAAGTCCTAAACTTGTTAATAATAAAAGTCAGGAGTTTTAGCTCAAATCAATTCTATAGATATAATTGTTATTGCTTAATAAATTGAAACAATAGCGTATTATATCGCAGTTAAAGTCAAAGGAAAGAGATGAGTCAAAGAGTAATAGATATCGCAGGAAAAACAAGCTGGAATTTTAAAAGGATGGAAATCGAAATATCTAAGATTATTTTTAAGAACATTATTTAATAAGCCATTTAGTTATTAAACGAAAATTTTAATATATATACAGCGTTCTGGAATGTTAAATTTATTCTTTTTTGAATAAATATGCACTAATATACACACATATATATTTGTAAAGCATGACAAAATTGATTGTACAAAACATTACAATTTACATTGATTGGGATAATAAAGCAAGGAGCCTAGATGCTTTGCGTTAGGGATATTTTAACTTATTAAAATTATTGCCATATTCTATAGATAAGTAATAATAATCAGAATTCTCATGGATTAATCAAATTAATATATGTACGTATACTTTTGTACACACTTTTGTTTCTGTTAAAAATTAAAAAATTTAAATCATAAATAAATTATTATAGAATATTGTACAGAAGTGAACTGCGCTAGAAGATAGTTCACTAACTATACTGTATTTAAAACTGCAAAGAGTAGTTTTATAAGCAGTACTCTATTGTGTTAAAATTTATTAAAATAAATTTAATTTTGTAAATCTAGTGTACAGTGCTTACATACACACATATAAAGCCATTTTTTTTAACCAAAAAAATTAACAAAATATACAATTTTTTCATAAATAAGTGTTTTCAAAAAATTTGTATTTTATGAAAAGTTTTTCACTTAAACAGTTTATCTTTTGTTACTAATTATCTTAAAATAGTGGAAATGAATTTACAGAACATAAAAAACACTATAAAAATATGTGATTGTAATTATAAGCTCTATCTCTTTGTTCTCTTTTTTTTATGAACTCCAGAAAAATATTTAAAAAAAATCTGATGTGGTCAGCATATAACCGACCGCATTGTGTATTGTCTAGTTGCGTGAAAGTCTTACAGAATATTAAAAAAATGTCTGAACAGTACTTCTTTCCAATTTTAAGGACATTTGTAAGTTAACATACCTAGAAAAATGTAAATTTGGCTCTTAGTACAGTTTCGTTTTGTGCTATCCGAATTCCCTGAAATGCCCACCAGTTAGTTTTGGTAATGTCCAGAACTCAAATATCAAATTCCATGAAATCCCATCAATTCGTTCCGTACATATGATGAAAAATGTAAAATCGGCCCTCAAATCAGTTTTCGAGCCCTGATGTTTCCAAAAAAATTATATGTTCATTGTTTTGATACGAGGAATTCATATATTAAATTTGAATGAAATCGGTTGATTATTTCTCTTTATATTCACAAAAATGTATACTTGGCCCGTAGTAAACGTCTAGTTGCCGATGCCTGATCTTTCCAAAAAATTTATATGTTCATTGTTTTAATACGAGGAATTCAAATATTAAATTTCAATGAAATCGGTTGATTATTTCTCTTTATATACACAAAAATGTATATTTGGCCCGTGGTAAACGTCCAGTTGCTGATGCCTGATTTGTTCCAAAAGTTAGGAATTTTCGCGGACGGTCGAGCAAAGCTCAAATATGTAATTTCAAGTAAATTGGTTGAATATTTTCTTCAAAATGGTGAAAAATGTAAAATCGGCCCGCAAATCAGTTTTCGAGCCCTGATCTTTCCAAAAAAATTATATGTTCATTGTTTTGATACGAGGAATTCATATATTAAATTTCAATGAAATCTGTTGGTTATTTCTCTTTTTATACACAAAAATGTATATTTGACCCGTAGTAAACGCCTAGTTGCCGATGCCTGATTTCTTCCAAAATATAGGAATTTTCGCGGGCGATCGAGCAAAGCTTATATATGAAATTTCAAGTAAATCGGGTGAATACTTTCTTCAAAATGTTCAAAAATGTAAAACAGGCCCGCTAAAAAGTGCAATTCCCGAGGCCTGATATATCCCAAAAGTTGATCAATCCGTGCCATGGTGGAAATAAACTTACATATAAAATTTCATCAAAATTGGTTCAGCAGAACTTGAGATACACGCGTGCACACACAGACCGACAGACCGACGGACCGACAGGTTGCTAAAAATAGTTTACTTACACTTCCATACTATGGAGAAGTGCATTCCCACTGAAAACTCGATATGCAAAATTTGTTGCCATCACATAACCTACCTATTGTTTACACAATACGGTCGGGTAAAAAGGTTCATTTAGAAAAATTCTTGTTCTCTTATGACTACTAAGTCATTAGTTTTATTTCACAGTAGAATCCATCAATCATTATTCTTCCTTGTTCAACGGCTCTCACCATATAAAAATTTTTCTCCTTATTACTTTATTTTTCATTCCGCATTTTTTTTCATTTATCTCCTTATTACTCTATTTTTCATTCCACAACTTGTATACCAGCCAAGGAGAATTGATACAACTACAGCGATAGACACATATGTATAAAGATTTTATACTACATTATCTGCTTTTACTTTATACTACCTTCTTATTAAGTACAGCAGGAAAGGATATAAAAAAAAGAACCAAAATTGGAACAAAAATAGAAAAATAAACAAATTTTATTTATTATTTTATACTCGTATTTACATGATTTGCTTTTATTGAACAAGAACAAGACTATTTTAAATCTTAAAACGTAAAATTAAATTCTAATACCAATTAAAAATACTTTTTTAATCTCATTTTATAAACAGAAATTCCGCGAAATTTTTTAAAATCTTGAAAGCTTCATAAGCAGCAACTTGTTTTTCAAAGTGTCATTTACACATGAATTATTTTTAAAAAAAAGTTTCAAGTTTCAATTAACCTAAGGTAAATTCTATATTGATTGGTTGGAGATTGTCGCTCCAAAACATCTTGGCTTGAAATCGTTTCTCATATCTGGAATCCGTTTTAATTTTTATATCTCTATTATTATCCCTTAGTTGAACTTTTTAGCACTTTTCCAAAAATTTTTTGAAAAAAAGTGCTTATTAGTTTCACTCTGTCCGTCCGTCCGTGGACACTTTTTTTGTTTACAAAACTTCTACAACCTTGAAGATAGAAAACCGAAATTTAATACGTATATAAATCTTTACTAGAAACTTATTTATGTAGAACAAAATTTTTACCTATCTCCCCCCTCTAGATGTTATACCCCCCCAAAACTCTAAAAATGGCCTTTTTTAACTATTTGTTGCAATGAAACCATAAGCATTTTTAAAATTTTTCAAACGCAGAAAGGCAGTGGCTTGCTTCCCCTAGCGCATTATACTATAGTTAAACTTTAGAAAAACAAAATTGCCGTTCAAATTTACCGTTATCTAAAGTCCTTTTTTTCCAAATTTTTGATGTCGTTTTTCTTCTAGACCCCTACATGTAGATGCCTGAAATTTTAGGGCCTTTTA